GTATGCCGTTGATAAATCAATAGCTCTTTATAGGTTTCGGGCAGGGATTGTGTGACCGGTCGTGAATCAGCTTTGCTACCATCATTCCAGATGAGCCGTTGTTGAATTCTTCCTCGTCCCGCCGTAACATACAGGTTCGAGGTGGGTGGGAGGGAGCACGTCCCATAGCATTGCTTGCAGCTGTTGCAAGCTTGTAGTTTTTGTGCCGCAATGGGCCGTGGTACGAAGCGGCTGTGCGCAGCTTCTACAGTTGACGAGCCTCCTAGTGCTGCTCTGCGTCTTCATGTCCTGCATTGTTGGCGTGCTGGGGCTGGCAGCACAGGCCGGCAGATGTGGGATGAGACCATCATCTCAAAGATGCGTCAGTTGGACAAGGGGCTGCACGTGCCTCAACACCGTGGTTTCTTGGCGCCAGTGCCATGTTTTGACCGTGGTGAAGATGTTTCGCTACCTGCTCCACTTGCGTCGGCCAGCGCTTTCAGTTTGGCTGGTTTGCGCTTAGCTGGTCCCTCTGCGTCTGCAGATTGGACGTCGAAGATGCAACGGGAACGTCGTGCTGCTATCAAGAAATGGGCTAGCTTGGTGAAGATGCATCCGGCTGCTTGGGAAGTTGGCAGACAGCAGGTGTCTGTGTTGCAATTACGTGTCAAGAGCGGGGGGCTGTTTGAATCAATTTCGGATGCGTTGGCTAGCAAAGCCACTGCAACTCTTCATGGTCGGGCGGGGCCACTTCTGCGTTACAGCAATTTCTGGATTGGTCAGGGTCACGATCCATGGCCACTGCAGGAGGAAATGGTGTATGCCTATTTCAAAGAAGTAGGCCCCTCTACTGCCCCGACGCATCTGCGATCCTGCTTGATTTCCATGTCCTTTGCGATGCATGTGCTGGGTTTGTACGGCGTAAGATCTGTTCTGGAGTCTGGGCGCGTACGTGGTGTCAGTGCAGAGCACTTCAGTCGCAAGCGTGCTTTGCGACAGCGTGACCCTCTAACTGTTCTGCAAGTAATTATCCTTGAGCGGTGTGTCATGGATAAGAAGGCCGCGGACAAAGACAGAGTTGCTGCGGGATTCTTCCTCGTGTGCATTTATGGCCGTCTGCGTTATTCGGACGCTCTAAATATAAACAGTGTGAAGTTGGATGTGCAGAGGGTACAAGGCAAGGTGATCGGCTTCTTAGAGGCAACCTGCAAGCGCACGAAGACCATGACGAGCCTTGAGACGAAGACAAGGCTGCTGCCTGTTGCAGTGCCTATTCAGTCTGTTGCTGACACTGCGTGGGTTGAGACCTGGCTAGAGCTGCGCGAGCGGATTGGTCTGGTCGTTGATGACAAGTGTCCACTACTCAGTGCGCCTATGGCTAACGGGCATTGGGGCTCCTTGCCTTTGGGGGCAGCTGAAGCAGGACATTGGCTTCGCTGGTTAGTCGCACCTGCAGGTGTGCAAGTGCAAAATCTAGGCACGCATAGTGCCAAGGCTACAGTGCTGTCTTGGGCATCGAAGTATGGAATGTCGCACGATGATCGACGCATGCTTGGCTACCATGCTGCAGCCGGGGATAAGTCCATGTTGACATACAGTAGGGATGCTATGGCAGGTCCTCTCCGTGAAATGGCCCGAGTGGTGCGCGACATCAAGGCGGGAGTGTTTCGGCCTGACATGACGCGCAGCGGGTACTTCTTGAAGCCCGATGGCAGCGAAGAGTTACTTGACGACACTGAGGACAGCAGTAGCTCTTCCGAAGGGTCTCTAGACGAGGACGACCAACAGTTCTCGGAAGAGGAGGAAGCGTGTGACGCGGTGGTCGGAGCTTGGGAAGGCGGTGAGTTGTCAATGGACAGGTCATATGCCAGGCACAAGTTTTCACGCTGTTTGCACATGTTTGCCATTGATGATTGTGGTGCATTTGTGTGCGGCCGCAAGATGTCGGACAGTTATGTCAAACAGAAGAGTGTGCCTCGTCTTGCGCACCCGCTTTGCAGTGTGTGCTTCAGGCAGAAGCAGTGAGTTTCAAAGATCAAGATAGCGTTGTGATGGCGCGGAGTCTGAGGGGTGCGGCATAAACCAGCACGTGCGTCTTGTGTGTGCATGTGGGCATGTAGTGTTTGTCACACCGTTTGCGCAAGTCACTTGCTTTCTCGTGGGCAG